TCAACCGTCTTTGACCAACTCCTAATTCAAACTGAAATTGTATGTACAGCTGGTAACAAGGTCATCATGAGAAAACATGTATAAACTACAGCTACTAGGCGCTAGAAGGCGCTATTTCATATACTTTCGATTTTATAGAAATAAAAGGTGTACCTGGGGTATGGTATACCCCAGAACACTAACCGAGGGTTAAAAACTCTAATACAGGAGTGTGTGGGCATAGGTTACGGGGAGCGTCGTCAAATGTTCGATGGATCACTTTTCCAGGGTTAAGATTGTAACTAAAGAAAAAATTAGCTGGTTATTTTAGTGGATTACCATTGCAGCATCATTTACTATGCGTACATTTACTATAACAGTGTCAAATATACTCAATGTAAATTTATATTAGTTTGAATAAAAGATTATGTAGCTTTTTAGTTTTAGTCGTAGAAAAATCATTTAAAATTTTTATTAAAACGACTTGTATCTATATAACGTGCATTCAAAATATCAGAAGGAATATCAGTACTAAGCTCAAATCTGGTTCTACAGAATGAGCATAATCTGCTCCAATTTGTATTGAATGTACTTTGTATACATCGTTTGTAGACCAATTTTTGTAGAAATCGTTTTATTAGCAAACAATTTGTAATTCTAGACCTAATTATTATTCTCTCGTAACCTTTGTTCATATCGATTATTTAATTGTCTAAAAACAAGATTTAAAAGTGCTAGTTTCAAGGTTTATCTAAAATTAATGTAGTCAAATCAATATATAATTGTACCAAACATACACTGTAACTTACATTTCAATTCTATTATTACGCTTTTTTTCAGTTGTATACTGTGGATACTCAAAAGATCGAAAAACGGTAAAGCAGCAGGATCTGAAGACATCCCAATTGAGTTGGTAAAGTATGGACCAAAAATATTACATGAGATGTTGGTTCAACTATTTAACAAATGCTTAAAAGGACAAAATATCCCTGATGATTGGAATATTGGATACATCAGCTCAATATTCAAGAAAGGGATAAACGCAAATGCTCTAATTATAGGGGAATAACTGTTATCAGCTCAGTGGGGAGGTTGTACGGTCGAATAATAAAAAAAGAATAGAATCAGAATACGAAGACATAGAAGAACAAAATGGATTTCGTGCAGGAAGATCGTGCACTGATGGTATATTCGTTCTGCAGCAGGTAATCGAAAAACGGAAGGCAAGGAATCTATCTACCCACCTATTGTTTGTAGATTTAGAGAAGGCATACGATACGGTACCTTGAAAAAACTGTTTCAAACATTGACGAAAGTAGGTCTTAGTAGAGAGTATGTGGATGCTATCGCAAATATATACAAAAATGCAAGTGTCGTTAAAGAAGGAAACTTTATATCTGAATCATTTCCAATAACAAAGGGGCTTAAACAAGGATGTTGTCTATCTCCGACCTTATTTAAAATATATATTCAATCATCGCTAGAGCAGTGGGGAAACAAGTATCCGGAATGGAATAGACATAGGCGATGGTAAATGTCTAACAACTTTATTTTTCGCAGATGATCAGGTAGTCGTAGCGAATGATGAGGAAGACATGGACTACATGTTTAGAAAACTAAAGAAAGAATATGAAAAATGGGCCTCAATATGAATATGTCAAAGACAGAGTATCTTAAAATAGGAGATGATGAAGAAGATCCAGAATTAGAAATTAGAAACACAAAAACATGCAAGGAATATAAATATCTCGGATCTATAATATCTAAAGAAGGCACTACCAAAAGAGACATCGAAAACAGAACGCAGCAGGGAAAAAAAGCGGTTAACATTCTAAACTCTCTACTATGGCCTAAAGATATTAAACAAGAAACGAAATTGACAATCTATCGAACCTTGGTAGAGCCTATTATGACTTATGGGGCAGAAGTTTGGCAGATCACGAAAAAAGATAGAAAAAGAATAGAAGTAGTAGAAATGGATTTTCTAAGGAGAGCGTGTGGTGTATCCAAAAAAGATCATATCAGAAATGAAGATATTAGAAGGAGGACAAATACTGTATATTCCAGTGTAGACAGAATTGAAACGAGACAACTAGTGTGGTATGGTCACGTGAAGCGAATGAATGAAGATAGATGGCCAAAGAAAGCTTTAAATTACATACCACAACAAAGAAGAAGAAGGGAAGGCCTTCAGTTGCCTGGGAAGAAATTGTACGACACATAATGAGAGATAGAGCCATCAAAGAAGAAGAATGGATGGACAGAAACCGATGGCGATCGAAATGCGAGAGGCGGCAGAGGCTGTAGGAATCTCGCTTATATATATATATATATATATATATATATATATATATATATATATATATATATATATAATATATATATAAATATATATATATATATCTATATTATATATATATATATATATATATATATATATATATATATATATATATTTATATATATATTTTGAATGATACTCTCGGATTGGTACAAAATGTTATAAGAGAATTCCAAAATCGCCTCGTGTATTTGTCAAGAAGTAAATAGTGGTCATTTTGAACATTTAATTTAATTGTAAAGTACATTGAAAAATACATTTTCAATATTATGTGACATTATTATCTTCATTCAACCTAAAGTTTTGTGATAGCGACATTATCAAAATTTTACATTTTAAAAATCATTTTCTCAGTTATAATTGCACCAAACTTAAAAACTTTATATTACTGAAAAGAGGACTAAAATCCTTTCTAACAAGGAGCCATACGACCTCCACTGTTATTTAAAATTTTCGAGGCGGTGCTGGAGGGGTATAATATTTTTATACTTGTAAATTGTTAATTTACAGTATGAAACAATTCTAGGTATACCTAAGAAATACATCAGCCTCATAAAAATGACGTTGCAGGGTTCAAAAGCCGCAGTCAGAGTAGATGGAGAACTGACTCCCCTGTTTAACATCAACATGGGAGTAAGACAGGGAGATGCCCTATTAACCATGCTATTTAACCTAGTTCTTGAGGCAGTCATCAGAAAAATCAATATAACCGGCCATATAAACACCAAATCAGTACAAATTACTGCATATGCAGACGATGTAGCCATCATTAGTAGGAATAAGCCACGACTAATGGAAGTGTTCAAACAAATTGATCCTGAAGCAAGAAAAAGAGGTCTCAAAATAAACGAAGCAAAAACGAAGTATATGATAGTCAAAAGAATAACTGACAATGAAAATAATATCACAATAGACAACTATACTATCGAACGAGTGGATGCCTTTACATATCTCGGCACAGAATTCAATCAGAAGAACTCCGTAAGTAGCGAAATTAATGCACGTATTTCCAGCGGCAATCGTACATACTATGCTAATAAAAGATTGATGAATCGAAATTTTAGACAAAAGAAACAAAATGACTATCTACAGAACACTGATCAGACCCGTAGTAACCTATGGATGTGAAACTTGGGTAATGACGAAAAAAGATGAAGCCCAACTCATGGACATTCGAGAGAAAAATACTGAGGAAAGTATATGGCCCGGTACAAGAGGAAGATGGCACATGGAGAATCAGGAGAAACGACGAGGTTAATGAGTTAAATGAAGGTTATGACATTGTAAGATTTGTGAAAAGTCAAAGACTGTCATGGCTGGGACATGTGCAGAGACAAAACGATGCAAAAACAACAAAGAAAATGTTACAATGGAAGCCCATAGGAAGGCGAAAAAAAGAAAGGCCCAGAACGAGATGGTTGGATGACGTGGAAGACGACCTGAAAACAATGAACATAAGACAATGGAGAAGAAGGGCACAAGAGAGATCTGAATGGAAGGACTTAGCCAAACAGGCAAAGATCCATCCAGGGTTATGACGCCAAAAGAAGATGAAGAAGAAATTTTCAATTTAAGAATAAAAATCGACTTGTTTCAGGTTTTTTTCACATAGTACATAATAACGCTAAAAATGAATTTATTCCATACATATGGACCGCATGGTATAGCCAAATAGAATTGATCTTTACTAATATTCGTGTTTGTGTACTAATAATGAATAGCCAGAAAGAAAATAAAAACTTGATACTAAAATAATGAAAAGGTTACAATAGAATAATTGTGTGGTAATTATATTTTAATAAAAATTTGTACGTGGAAAGTCCATGGATTCTGTTGTTAAACAATTTTAAAAACTATATCTGAAGCAAGTAAGATAAATATTTTTTACACGCATCATATATTGGCTATGAAAGTCATTTTTACCTTTATTTAATGTTTAATTTCTCTATAATTAAATATTTAATAAAGATAATTTATAGTAAAGCCGATAATTTTGAACGAATCTAAACAACCGCTCTGGCTCAACTGCAGATTAACATTTTAAATTAAAAAAAGACAGATATTGCTTTTCACTTAAAGAAAAACTTTTAACATATTTACAATTAGAATAGATCGCAACTTGCGACCTGTCAGCAAAAATGTTCTGAATTGATTGTGGATTGAAAATAGAAATCTTTCAAATACACCTTCTCCAAGATCTGTTTACAATAACAATAATATGATATAATATAACATGTTTAATAATTTATATTTATAGTAAATAAATTTAAACCGTTATTATAGGATTTTGGAGTTTGTTTTCGTGATGTTACATTATAAAGAAGGTTGTCAGAAAAAATATATTTACAAGATTACCCCATTATGTCCACTGTAATAGATAATAGTCAGCAATAAAAGCGCCTCTATGACTTTTTTTCAAACTCGTCAAACCAAAATAACGTTTCTCAAATAAAAGGTAGTTACCAATGAAGCTGCTGACGTGATTAGTGAATATATTTTGTTACAATTTATATAACATTAGTAAACAGGTTTCAATTTATAAATGTTTGACAACGGAAATCATGGCTTGTAGATTTTAATAATTAATTTTTGAACGCAATAATTGTGCAATATGGCAGAAATCATATCTACAACCGTCCTAGTTAGTGTCAAATTAATTAAATAATTTCTTCTGTTATAGCCCTTCGTCTGCTTCTAAAACTTGGATAAAAGTAATCAAAACCAGGAAAAAATCAAAATACGTTTTTATTAATCCCCAAAGTAAATCTATGTCATTCACAAAATAATGTTACAAGACAATCGCAAGTTAAAATGCAATACGTAACTTAACAATATATTCTCAAGACACTTGTAGTTGTGACCTATTGTAATAAATAATAGTTTTCATTGTTCTATTGTAATATTTCGATAATAAAACTGGTTTCTTTTTACATAATCTTTTATTGCCGAAACAAGACAGAACAGTGCCGAAACAAAAGACAGAGCATAAAACACACAAAAAGTATGACGTAAAAATAATGTGAAAATAATCGATTGGAAAATGGATTCTCTTTAAAACAAAGCTTTTTCCGTCTTCCTTTAACCATTTATTTCATGCATTTTTATTTTTGCCATCGTTTTTAATTCATCAACAGCTTTTTATTTATTCCTTCCTATTTATTCAATCTCGTCTATCCATCCATCAATTTATTCTGGGCCTTCATCTTCTCTTTTTTCTTCTATTTCTTAATTTTAATATTTGCCTTGTAATTCTTTCTGGTTTCATTATATTAATATTTCCGAACCAAAACATTTGATTATGTGCTTTCTGCAGATACGATGACCTCTTATAACATACGAGGCCATCATAACGGCAGGATGACTATCTATGGTCAATCTAGAACTCGTTGGTTTCTTTGCTTCGCTCTAGGTATGTCTATTACCATAGGAAAATAAAACCAAGGGGACTGTATCAAAATCTATTTAAAAAGTAAATTCAATAAAAAATAGCATACATACAGAAGATTATGCATACAGCCTGGGTAATAATCTATCATCAGTATGGACCTTACGTGAGATAAAGTGAGAAACACCTGCTTAAGAAGAGAGAGGTCCGCCCTTTATATCGTCGAAAATGCATTAGTGAAAATAACAAATTCAACAGAAGAGGGGGAAGTTCAACGTTGCCAAACTTATTGGTTTTATTTGACCTGTTCTAAGATAATCAAATTTGGGCAAATTGACTTAAATGTCTGCTTACTGTTTTTAATTGGAAATAAGCCACAATTTTACTTTACAATAAGTTTATTTTAACATTTTGATTTCCACTTCGGCAATCATTTTATTTAAATAAAATTGATTAATGTTTCGTATTTTAAGTACGATTTCCAATTGGAAATCTAGACATCAAATAAGCTTATTTTAAAGTCATATTGTACCTTATTCCCAATAAAAATATTAAACTGCATTATGACGCCACAATAAAAAAGCTGTGGTAACCGGCAGAACAGAACTAGTTTGGTATGCTATGAGTATTGCATGGGTTCATGGGTTGGTCTTGTCAAAAAGCATAATAAATAAAGACAGTACTAGTTAAGTATTAAGAAGAAGTAGATGTATTATAGTAAATTTAAACTGGACGAAAAATTACGTCTTTTAATTAAAAATAAAGTATTATTTGGAATTTTCAAAATAGTATCCAAGTTGTCAATAGAGCAGTCCATTCACCGATAGCTAAGGTATTCAGGAACATGTTCTTGCAAACACGAACTGCAGAACCATTCTCTTTAAGAAAATATTTTGCAAGTTTTTTTTTACTGTCTGTCTCTGATTTTCGGTCTTGAGCCAAAAACCTCAGAAATTGCTTTTTCTCTGGCCAATCCATTTTCCAGAACTCTTCAAAAATTTTTTCTATCATCTTCTGTAAGTCTAAGTGAGAGCGCCCACCAAACTGGCGTGGCAGTGCAGTGGCAAGTAGCAAGTAGCACGCATCTAGCATGTTATTTTTAAATGTAACCAATGAAAAAAATTATTAGAATGAATGACGTCACTATCATTTGGTGAGCGCTGAATTATTCGTTTTCATTGGTTACATTATGCTAGACGCGTGCTACTTGCTACTTGCCACTGCCACGCCACTTTGGTGGGCGCTCTCCCTTAGACACTGGATTACTCTATTTTCTTTTCTGCTACACTTGCATATTTGTTTCATTACTCTAGCAGCTTTTTTATATTATAAACATACGGTCCATTTTTTGTTTTTCTTCTACCGCAATATTCCTTTCCTAATTTTCTGGCTGTTTTTTCTGGATTTTAGCAAATCTCGTATCTCCATGCTTTTATTAATTTATTATTATAAACTCACTACTTTTGCAAGGTACAGGTTAGGCTTAAAAATTAAACGGTTTTGTTTTTACTTTTCCATATTTAAAGTTCAAAAGAGCACTTAAATAACATCAAAATACAACAACAATAAAAGAACGATCAGCCTAGATGTTTCTCATAGAATAACACATGACAACTGGGAGTTAGAAGTTGTGTCAACATGAAAACGACAGATTGGAGTTAAGAGGTAAGTTAATTCTTTAATATAGCACCGAATCATTTTTTTTGGAGTTCGGAGATTTGTCAGTCTGTAGAGAATTGATTTCTTTTGAGCTTGCTATTAAAAAGTGGTATTCACCAAAATGGGGAGTTAAGAGGTTTGATAATTAGGGTATCGATATCCAAGTTCAAAAATGTCCCACTATAAAGTGTAGAAAAGACGAAATAAAGGAATGGTTAAGTGAATGGTGGGATGCAAAGGAAGGTAAATATTCGTAACATATCTATAATAGTTGCGTATTATTGCTTCTATTGACTATATACTATATACTCTTGAATATGAAATTAGTGACACACAATTTGGCTTTAGAAACGATATGAGTACAAGAGATGCTTTGTTCGGCTTGAATTTGCTGGCTCAGAGATGCATGGACATGAATCAGGACATGTACATGTTTTGTAGACTTTGAAAAGGTATTTGATAAGGTTGAACATAAAAATCTTGTAGATATATTAAAAAGCAAAAATATTGACAGTCGTGATATGAAAATTATATCTAATTTATATTGGAATTAAACTGCCAACATAATGCAGAATTACAGAACATAATGCAACGCCTTAATGAACGCTGTAATGAGTACGGACTGAAGATAAATTTAAAGAAAACTAAATGCGTGATCATGACTAAATCTGCACATGCAAATATCCAATTGACTATTGAAGATACTGCAATTGAGAGTGTTAATAACTATAAATACTTAGGAACATGGATAACATCAGATGTAGACCAAACCAAAGAAATTAAGACACGTATTGAAATAGCACGTGCATCATTCATTACACTTAAAAAGTTTCTTTGTTGTCAGGATATAAGGTTAGAACTACGCCTGAGAATGCTTCGCTGTTACGTGTTCTCTACTTTTCTTTATGGCTTGGAAGCGTGGACACTAAAACAAGTCCATCTGAAAAGTTGGCCGCCTTTGAATTTTGGTGTTACAGAAGAATCCTACGAATATCATGGATTCAAAGAATGTCAAACGTGGAAGTAACTAGAAGGATAGGAAATGAGGCTGAAATAATATTAACTATCAAAAGACGAAAACTTGAGTACTTAGGACATGTGATGAGAGGGCAAAAATACGCATTATTACAACTTATTATGCAAGGCAAAATCCGAGGAAAGCGAAATGTGGGAAGACGAAGAATATCCTGGCTTAAGAACTTAAGGGAATGGTTTGAATGCAGTAGTGCAGAACTTTTTAGAGCGGCAGTCAATAGAGTCCGCATAGCCATGATGATTTCCAACCATCGATAGAAGATTGAACTTAAAGAAGCAGAAGCTTCTATGGTCTGATTTTTGTCACTTTCAATTTGCTAGATATAAATTTATATTTTTTTCTTATTTACTATGGGTGGTCTTATATATGTAATATTAAATTTTTAGTACTCATAATTTAGCACATTTAAGCGATCTTGATTGATATTTAAAATAATAAAAATATAATAAATAGGATGCGTATTAATATTTTTATAAACAGGTTCACGCATTTTCTCACTACTTCATTTATGTAAAATTGGTTGAGGCATTTATAAAACATAATCAAGTCGATTGTAAATTAGTAATGGTCAAGGATTCGAAAATACCATTTAAGTAACAACAAACAAATTTATATCTATTTTAAAATGCAGTACTACGTTATAATATTGTGTTTAATTGCAGTGTGTGGAGCTAAACAATTACGTAAGTTTGAACTTATTAATAAATTATATTATGATATTCTAAAATATCAAGAAATTAAAAAAAATCAGTCAAATTAATTTAAATAATCAAGATTTACAATTAATACCATTAAAATGTATTATTATATTCTTATTACTTGTACTGCTACAATATACTATCACACAATTTGCTGAATATTTAATTCATGTATATTAAATAGACCATAATTCATTTTATTAAAAAATTGAATTTCTTTTTCTTTGGGCGTTTTAATTTTCCCCAGAAATGGATTTACAAAATAAATTCTTAAAATAATAGAGGAGATAAGCAGGCTAACAGCAGTTTGGCCTTAGTAGTAGTTCGTTTTTAATTTAGGTAGTTCTTTCTTAGTAAGAAGTAATCGTTATCATCATCATCATCATCATTCTCAGCGTATTCTACCAATCTTTCTTATGGTGCCCTATCCAATTAATGGATGTTGGCGACAATTCTGGCATACTCCTCTCGATCTTGTGTGGCTAAAAAGTGCATGGGCATCGAGTTTTGTCCAATCCTTTATGTTTTTAAGCCATGAGTATTTCTTTCTTCCGATGCCTCGTTTTCCTTCTATCTTCCCTTTCCATAATAAGCTTTAAGAACTGGTACTTGTGATTTCGAAATATATGACCCAGATAAGCAGTTTTTCTTCTTTTTATTATTGGCAGCAATTCTCGTTCTCTGCCCATTCGATTTAATACTTCGACATGTGTTGTGTGATCTGTCCAGGGAATTTTAAGTAGTCCTTCGAAATACCCACATTTCAAAGGCCTTCAATCGGTTTCATCACATTGGCCTTTATGGTCCAGGTTTCTACACCATATAGCATATAGAGTAAATGTAACATTTTACAAAGCGACATCGAAAGCGTTAAGTTGAGGCTGCTGTTGCTTAGCAAGGTTCTCTTATTAGTAAATGCTGTTCTGGCTTGCTTCAATCCTGCTACGTATCTCTATGTCTGGATCTAGATCTTCAGTTATCCAACTACCGAGATATCTGAACTTGCAGATCTTTTGGATGTTCTTGTTGTTTACTCTTATATTTAATTGAATATTTCGTATTCTACTAACCACCATAAAAATAATACTGAGAGCCTGGAATGAGGAACAAATCCGAAAGAGTGGTGTATTGGAATCGTTTGCCCGCTAACACAAAAAGGGTGTCCAATTGGAATGTAGAAACTATAGGGGAATAGTTTAGAATTAGTATCCCTATAGTAAAAACTATAGGGGAATAGAAACCCATCCTTAATACAGCATACAAAAATATTTTCGAGGATCTTATATGGTCGCCCAAGTGCATATTCAGAGGAACTTCATCGGGAATATCAAAGTGGTTTTAGGCCTGGTCGATCAACAACAGATCAGATCTTTGTGCTAAGGCAAATACTGGAAAAACCAATGAATTCAATATCGATACATACCATTTTTTTGTAGACTTCAAATCTGCCTATGAATAGTGTCCTAAGAAATAAATTGTATGAAGCCATGAATGAATTCCACATCCCTGATAAACTGATAAGATTGGTTAAGGCTACAATGCGTAATGTGGTTTGCAAAGTCGAAATACAGGGCGAACAATCACAGGCATTTGGAACGCATGTTGGGCTGCGACAGGGAGATGCCGCAGGCGTGTCTCCTTTTAACATAGCACTGGAAAAGGCGATCAGATATGCCCGAATAGACAACAGAGGAAATATTTTTAAAAAATCATTCCAAATTTTGGCATATGCAGATGATGTGGTACCTAGTTGCCCGCACAACACGCAAGCTAGAAGAAATGTATACTACCTTCTCAAAATGCCTCAAAATCTATGGGCCTGCAAGTAAATGAGGAGAAAACTAAGATGATGGCATCAAACACCCAACAATAGAGTCAGGAACAATCGGTCCCCAATTCACAGTTGATAAGTCTACCTTTGAAGCGGGTGGAATAATTCACATACTTAGGCTCCCTGATCATCAAAGAGAACGCCATAACGGAAGAAATCAAGCGAAGTAATAATGGCAAACAGATGCTATTTTGGACTGAGTAGACATATGAGAAGTAGAAACTTAAGCCAAAAAACAAAAATAACCATATACAAAATACCCTAATTACAGCCAGTGTTGACACTATGGATCGGAGACATGGACCATCTCCAAAGCAGACGAAGACTTCTGCTATATTTGAACGAAGAATCCTGAGAGGAATATGTGGTGAGTAGTAGAGAAAAAGGAGTACACCAAAACTCAGATGGAAGATGGTGTAGAATGAGGATGGTAGAAAGATAGGCGCAGCAAACTGGCAAACGGTTGGCAATTGATAGAACTGCCTGGCGTAACTAAGACTTGGGAAGGTCGAGGCTCTTTCAATCGGGGCTGTGAGTACCATTGATGATCGAGATGATGACTAACCACCATTACCTTCGTCTTGTCTATATTAATCTTCAAGCTCAGTCGTTCTTGTTCAGTGTTGATTCTATCTATTAGTCGTTGTAGCGTTTCTGGGCTATCTGCTATTATGACTGTATCATCAGCATAGCGAAGATTACTAATAGTCTGTCCGTTGATTTTGATTCCTTTATATAGTCGTCCTTCATTTCAGCCCACGGTTGTTTAATATTCGTTTTTCTGTGGCATGTTATACCGGCTTGTTTCCTTATATCTTAGTCTCATCATATATTTGGACATCTTCATGAGCTCTTGTCTGCTCTTGGATACCACAGTGTAATTTTAGTTGACGCACCCACTGCCAATTTAAAGATTTAATTGTGTGGATTACATCAGTGACTTGGTTTTATGTCTGATCCATTCTATTCTTTTTCGATCTTTTTTGTTATACTTGGTACTCTCCATTGACCTTTGAGTGACTTTTGTTTTTATAATCTATGGTTCTGAATCCACTTCTAAAGTCAACTAGGCCTCTTTGCTGTGCAGTAGCTAATGCATTTGTTAATCTGGTTTTGATAATCTTTGTGAATATCTTGTATATAATTGGTAGTAGACTTAGTAGGTCTGTAGTGACTAAGTAGTCTGGTATTTATCTTGATCTTAGGTAGATCATAAATTAGCCTGCTAAGATTTTCTAGATTATTTTCTCAACGTATTAGAAGCAGTTGCACTGTTCCAGCTGCTTTATTGCTTTTCAATTTTCTAATTGTCGATTTAGCTTCTTCCAGAAGGACATCTGGTACAACTTCTTGGTTACTGATTGCTTCTTTCAAGTGTTTCAGGGGCTTTGTATAGTTCGCTGTAGTAAATACTAGTATTATTTTATTTATACTTAATTTTTATTACAACCCACACATTTTATGCGCCCCAGTAATACATTTAAATAATTACAGACTTAGAAATTTCTTGGGACACATCTGCAAACATACCTATTTTGGAACTGGTTTTGTTGTACTTGGTTGTTTTTTGTTTTCTAAAAGAAATTTTTGCCGTGTCTGTGATTAAAAGTTGTCCAATTTGTAAGTTTTACCAGATTTTCGGAGAAGTCCTAGTTCTAAACCCCTGTCTTAATATTTTTTAGTAATAAAATGATACTATCCGTTGGTTTACGGCATCTCAAATCATGATTTAAATTTTAGAAATTAATGCAATAATTTGTTGAAAAAGAAATCTAGTCAAACTAAATATCGTGATTTTAAACCAAACATACCTGGATACCAATCAACGTGTAACGACAATATTTGCTTACCTCAGGGTAAGAACATGAGGGGTAGAAGATTGGGCAAACAAAATAATCGTAAACAAGTGCAACGACACTCAGTTGGTTGTTGGAGAGCTGGGTCGTGGATAAGTTGAAATATGGGGGTTGGATTGGGGTATCTACTAAAATGAAGACAAAGGGATACTTACATAAATCTCCTGGGCAATTGATACAACAAACAAATCAAAAATAGACTGGAACACCTCAAGGAATTTAATATAGGGCGCCACTTGAAGGATCCTAGTTTACTGAAGGAAAGAAAAAATTCTTCTTCCTTAATATCTAAAATACATAAAAAGGGTTTAGGAGATTTTTCTAAATAAAAATAAAAAATTAGGTTAGAGAAACAAATCTAACGTTTATTATTGTCTCAAACAAACAGTTTTTTAAAAATACAGCTTATACAAAAGGCATACTATATAAAAATAGTTGTCAAATACAAATAAAGAAACTTACATGTTATCTGTTTACAAAGAGGTTACAAAAACCTTCGAAATGGTTCCTAGTAAATAACGTGGCCAAATTAGATTAAAATTTTATGGATATCCTTTTGTGAAAAATAAAATTTAATCTTTACTATAAAATCAAAATATCTTTTACAACAGATTCAAAATCAAACTGTCATACGTCAAAACAAACATTTTTAAGACAGGATAAAATTATGACCGATGACAGTTTAAACCACGCCCTAACATAATATTTATTTTAATTACAATTTTTTTTTAAAAATCAATTTATAAAAGAAAGCAAATTTTGTCTTTTTAAAGAAATGTCTATTTTTACTTTAAAAATTAATAACGTAAATGTTACCTCAGTTCACACATGTTAACTTAAACTTTTAAACAACTGGCTAATAGGTACCTGTGGGGTATCTAACTGAAACATCATCAACGGAAAACTTTCTTGGAGGCTGAAGCTGGCACACTGGCACATTCAAATCAAAACTGCTCCAATATCATTCTACGTGAGGTGAAGAGGCATCTTGGAAAGGAACTGGATTTCTCAAAAAAACGAAAAGAAAGCAGGAACTAAACTTGTTCACTTCTCATTTATTATAAATCTTCAGCAAAATCAAAACAGTGGTTAGTGGTCACTCTTTCAAATACGACATATTACATAGAGTGAAAATTCCACCATTTTTGGCGAATTAATGCCGAGTTACCACATCACAATTAAACGACCTTTCCCTTCGAGCAATTCTTCATCACTGCCTCTCTTGACCTCGATCTCAACTGCCGGATAGATACCGCCTCTCTTTTCCCCGCACAACCATTGCCATCTTGTCAAATCAA